TTGTCAGGAAAGGAACTAACTTCAGTTGACAATGGGGAAAGGATTGTTAACTTACAATCAAACTGCATTTGAATGGGTATCAAAATATACTTAAGACACCTAAATGAGGCGCAGGAGTGGAAAATGTTGCTTACCTGCAAGTCACGTCAGTTTGAAGTGAAGCAGGCCTGAGATGCCTTGGTGTCTGGGAAAAAAGACGAATGACTGGTGGAGGTAGAAAATGATTTCACAGTTCGCTCCAGCTTCTAAACCAGCCGTTGCTCCAGGCCAAGACTGCTGACATAAACTGTGGCACATGTGATTTCTTACCCCCAGCCCAAATTATGATAGCTTGGACTACTGGTATTCTGGCTTCAGCTACTCAGAGGAAAAGCAACAGGAACTGGTTGTGGGCCAAAACGAATCAATAGATTGTTTCAGGAAGGAATGTTTTGATTAGCCTTGTCTCCACATAATGAGAGAATTTGAAGGAAACTTTCTAAAGTTTGAAACAAGAAAAATGTCAGTTAAGCACGTTTCATTGTACAGCAAAGAAATTGTGGTGTGTATAATGGCAGCAAAGCTATTTTTGCGAGTCTGTTTTAAACAATCTAGAACATTTATGAAAACACAACTCTAAAATGAACATTTACCTCATACCTTCCAAAAAAACTAAGCCTGAAAAGAAATTATTTAGTTGCACTATCTAGGAGAGTGACTTTTTGTTATCAGTGGGGGAAAAGTCATAGATAAAAAGCGCTCTCACATTGAACTTGAACCAAATTGCTACTTAGCAACAAACAAAGCAACAACAGACGAGCACGTTTATTGGCACAGCAAGAAAATGTTTTAAAGATGTAAACATGTTGGTGGTCATTTTAACGTTCTGCATCGGATCTTTTAAACACAAGTCTGGTGACCGGTCACTTTGCCAACATCCGCGGGTCTCGTTTGACCCCTGACCAGTCAAGCACTCTATCAAAGCTGACATCTGTGACGTTTGGGGCTTTGGCGGAACCATAATCAGAACCATATTTTCAGTTCTTTAGAATCATACGATAACAATCCCATATAATGATTCAATTCCTAGATAATGACTTATTCATTTCCACAAAACAAGAATCATAGTTGCAGGTTTCCATGCCGACCGAAAGCGGGTCGAGAAAAACCATGGTTCTCTAGTTTGCTTTGTTTGTATTTTATGGAACAAATGAAGTTGTCACCAACTTGGAAGAGTGTAAATGAATTGGAAATGTACAATTACATTTTAATTAATATAACACAGTGCTCCACACATAATTGTTAATTGTAGATTAATAATTTATTTGAGGCTTCTGCTGATTGTCTATAAATATTCCCATGAACTTCATCTTTCTCTCTTTGGTTAATATCACTGTATACATTACAACTTTCTACAGTTTATTCTATACAGCACTCACTGAGGAATAATCTTTTTGAGTGTAGTGGAAAGGAGGCTCTGTTGCAACAACTATGTGATAGATTTTCTTTAAGTGATAAGGGACCAGTACATATGTTTCTATATATAGGGCAAATGGAGTGAGCAGTCCATTTACTGACAAGGTGAAGCTTAACATGAGCATTAAAGTCAAGGGTGGCCGAGATCCATGCCGGCCATCTGCCAGGAATCCAATTCAGCAAATGGTCGGATCCCGGTAAGCCCTAAGCCGAAAATAAAGTCACTATGCTTAAAAAGATGCAAACGTCCTTTAATTGGTATGAGAGCCGCTGCAGGAGAGCACAAATCCGGGCTGTTTCCTCTCATGTTCCCCGTAGCTCAGACTTTTATCCACTTCCACCCAGCATGCCCTGTGAAGTCGATTAATTGAACACTTTGGGACGACGTGGAAACTTTTATCAACTTTGGCCATGACTAACTCGCTGTGTGTGTTTAGTTCAGGGGGAATTGAGGAAAAATCAGCTTTCCTTTGTATTCCTGATCACAAAGAAAAAGCGTTCAAGCGTCTGCCAAGAAATGAAAATATCACAAAGCGACAGAGATGGCGAGGTGAGGCGTCTTGTGCCACCTGCTCCGGGACAAAAGTGAGGGGAGCTGGGGGTAAACGGGGGGTCGTGGCTGTCAGCGGTCTCTCAGTTATGAAGGCCAAGAGGGACTTCAGACGTGAGGAGGGCAGAGACTGCAGTGATGACATGACGGGAGACACCAGGGTTACTACCACCACCCTCATTCAACACTACGGGCCTTATAAACTGTGTGTGAGCCGAGCTGTGTGTGTGCCTGAGTGCTCCTTTTAAAAGTTTTCTCTCAGGACACTGGCCTCATCTTCTGTGGTTCTCCCACAGAGCAACGCAGTCCACGACCCCTATAAAAAGAGAGGGATGCCCACTTCCTTCTACCCTCAGGCATGCCAGTCTTTCCTCAAGGGAATGGGGCCCCTTAATTTATTATTTGTTCCCCTCTTGTTAAGGAAATACTTTCTCAATAGCTCTTTCTCCTTTGTATATTTTTACTGTTCTTATTTTCTTCCTTGATCCAACCCTGTCCTCTCTTATTTATTTGCTTTCTAAACACCATCTTGGATCACTCCATTCAAGCTGCCAAGAAGAGGCTTAAAAAAATGACTTTTGTCCTCAGTTAGGACAGTGTTTATTTGTCTGAGCGAAACTGAAGGGATACAAGTATTTTGGGGATACCTATGTGGAGGTGACAGCTGAGCTGAGTCATGCGAGCTGACCTCGGTTACCATCGCCTTAGTCCTTAATCAGATTCCTCTGCGGCGTATTGAAGATTTGTCTGCTGATACAAGGAGCTCAGATGTCATAATTTATCAGCCGGACCCTGCCACTCTTGATGCTAAGCCATTCCTGCGCCATGTGAACTTAATTGGATGTTAGGTAAACACCACATGTTGTGTGAAATGGTTTCTGTCAGTAAAATCCTGCTGACACGTTCAATTTCAACCCACTCCTCATTCCCCTCCAGCGAGAACTTCTACGTTTGTCTGCTCCTCTCAAACGTCCCCTGAAAATGGTCATTAAAGATGCAGAGCCACTGACTGACCACTGAAGGGAAAACAAAATAGGATTTTGCTCATTTTTTATATCATAATTATAAAAAAATACCTGGATTTTTATGCAATCTACTCACAACCTATTTCATACAGATTTGATTGCTTTAGTTTTTAGTCATTCGATGCAGACAGAATTGTATATTTTTTTTCTGGCTTAACTCGCACATTGTCTGTTTGTTGTGCTGTTGACCAGATGCTAATGTCTCATGTGTTTAGTGGAAATCACAATATTATTATCAAATTGTCATTTATGTACAGTCATCACTAATTAAAGAAATATAATGAGACATACTTCAACTGCTCCAAAGAAAATCACCAAAATTCTTCTGTAGCTTTTGTACGAGCTCCGTATGGAAGAGAAACACGTTTCCTGGCATTTGTTGCTCCGGTTGTTCATCACATCCATTCTTATAAAGCTGTCATACAACAGCCGATCAGTCTTTGGTGTTCCTTAAGTCTTGCTTCCGGTCTGACTTTAGCACAATCCTCCTCTTGGTCTATTTCTTCCCATTTCTCTCATGTGGAGCCTCAGTCCGCCCCCATGGAGATCTGCTCCAGCACCTGAACCTAATGAGGGCTCTTATGTCCTTTCTCAAGTCAGAATCCTGTCTTGAATCTTCTGTCATCACTCAAACTCTCTGCAAACTCTTCTATTGTAAGAGTATTTCCATTTGCAGGGTTGGGCGAGGTGTTAATTAGAACACAGTTAAAGCAAAGTCATTTGTTCTTAAAAAGATAGTGTTAGGAATACCATTGATATATTATATTGAACAAAGTTTTTCTACCTGAGCATTTTGTCAGCTTCCCCATTGCTGAAGGTGGCTCTATGAGTCCAGTCTGCCTGGTAATCATTAGGTTGTTGCTGGTGGGACTTCAGGGGTAAGGAGGTAATTCCACAGTTGTGTTTTGTGAATGCTTTGTGCTCTTAACCCTCATTAATGTTAACCGCTGCTAGAGCACATGTACTAAGAGGGAAGGATTTATTGCAAAGCCGTTGGTCAAATTTAGATTGATTTTTTTTTTCTTAAAAAGGGTTGATGTAAATTTTGACTTAAAGTTATGCAATATTTTTTTTCAGTCACTTTTTATATAAAGACAGTAATCTTCCAACTACAAATGGCTTCATCAAAACTTTGTGTTGTGTTCTGTTTCACATCACTGAGCTGAATCTAGCGATACAAATGGATGAGAATACAAAAAAAGGGCTGATTGTTGAATTCTTATTGTTGGTGGCATTTCAGTGTCGGTTTGTTTTTAGTTATCCTCTAGAAAAATGAGTGACAACGTGCAAAGACAATTTTGCTGGGTGGAATCAGAATGTGCGGATGCTGGTTGTTCTCAGTCAGATGTGTAAAATATAAGCAAACTGGGAAAGTTGTACGGAAACAAAGTGTGTCAGGCCAGAAAACAAAAAGACAGAATTAAGGAATTGCACAGCATAAGAAAATGACTGCAGGTGGACAAAAGCAGTAGTCAGTGTGAGTGAAACGTAAGAAAAAAGTCAAACCTTCACAGACATTTAAAGAAAACAAAAATCAGGTTACAGTTGAACTAAAGAGAAACATTCATGAGCAGCAGATGATTGGATGAATGTGATATTCAGTGATAAATCACCAATTCAATTTAATTAAAGTATATTTCCATCATAGCTACCAGGGTCTGTACACAGAGTGCAGCATTTGGAAGAAAAATCCTCTGAATTGTGTAAAACAGAGCAGCTCCTTCCTGATGTTTCATGTCAGAACAATTAAACAAGTCACTATGGCCACCGGGCCCCTTCCCAGAGTCTGAGCTCAGGTATTCCAGGGACTCCGTCCTCCTCCTCACGAGTTCACCGGCCGTGGCTAATCTTATCTGATCTGTTATTAGCAGCATTTTTCATCTTCATGGCAGAGTTAACAAGCCTTTGAGTTCCGTAATAGCTGGGAATGTCGAAGTCTGAAGTTAAGCATGGAATTGAATGTAAGTGGGATAAGTGGACATAAATCACAAGTTTTTCCACAACACGGGAAAAGTCTTAAGCCCGAAGATTCATAAGAAGTTCACATGAAATGGAGTTTTTCACAGAATAAAAAACCACACAGCATGAGATGATGTTTTATTTAATTCAAATCAAAGTACAGTTTTCTGCTTTTGCATAGGCAGGAAGCGAAAATGATTTATCTCCGACAGCTTTAATTTTGTATGGAAAATATGGAAAAGATTAGTAAGGAATGTATTACTAAAAGCTCATTTCTGACAGCAAATTGGGACAGTGTTTTTCGAGAAGGAAACAATGAATCACTCCGACTTTTCACGAGGAAAGATGCAGGTGCTGGTTTCCAAAGAGCTGCAGAAAAACCACTTCATGAATCATTTGAAAAGCAAACACAGTGCACTGCACACTCGACTGTCAAAAGCAACATGAACACATGACTGTAAAAACAAGGAGAAGGTGAGATGCTTTCAGTTAGCGGGGGGCGGGCCCGTCAGTAGGTTTGATAATAGTGAAGGGGTCACGGGTTAAGAGCCGATAATCAGACAAAAGTAGAGTGACGGACGAGGTGGCATCGGAGTGAGAGGACGCCCCGCAGACGCACACTTCAGCTGGTGTGCGTTTGTGTGTTGGCCTCGATCGGCAAAGCGAGGACATAACATTGATGAGACGGCGGCCCGGCGGAGATAAAAACCCACTTAAGGAAATATTCCTCTCAGAGACTGAATGAACACAAACACGGCACAACCCCCATTTTCCCACCAGCTTCAGACAGCTCCATCTTTTTGAAGTCTCCAGGTCATCTACCAGCGACCTGTTATCAATGGCCCAGCTAAAGCCCCCAGACGGCATTAATCCGTCATGATAAGTTTACATCTGCTCAAATGGCTGCATTGGTAACTTTAAGCTTCACCCGAGTGCTGGTTCGGAGTTTGGTTTTCACTTTTTTTTTGCTTTCTAATCCGAGTGTTAGGAAGCATCTATCCATCCATTGAGTCTTCAGGCTCAACTTACAGGCTGCACAGCCTCTCATCCTCTTCTTCCACCAGACTCCTGAACCGGAGAAAGACAAAAACACAACATGCATGTTATAACCCACAAAAAGTTGTGACAAAAAGCATATTTACAGGTGACCAGAAGCTATCAAAGAAACTATTTGATTTTTATTTTTAATTACCGACTAATCCATTGATTAGAAAACACCAAGATGACAAGTTTGGAATTAAAAATGTTAAAATGTTTGTTGGTTGTTTCCTGTTGACTTAGCTGATGCTCTCATTATTTTGTGAAGACAAGAAATTGTGAAAAATAAACAAAAAAGGAGAGAAGTCCCACATGAAACCAGTATTTGTACCATGTGAAAAAGCAGTGAGTGGATCATAAAACAGGAACTTTGAAAACAGGTACACGAGCAAGAAGATGCAATAAAGCTAAGAGGAACTGATAGGGAGTTTTTTTGAGAAATTATTGGTATAAAAATCCATTTTGTCAGCCATTATACACAGCACAGTATGAACGGGAGAGGAACCATGTCTGGGCTACTTGTTGCTCCGTCAGCCAGCAACAGCAGAATGAGTTACAGAGCAATATGGTTCACATTAGCAGTGAACTATAAAACCAAGCATCTGCACAAAATGCTCAGAGATGCTTTAACAGGCGATAAGATACCCATTAATGGGAGCATTAAGGTCTGTTGTGCAGGCAATTTGCCTCTCCATGCGGAGAATAAACAACGATCATTTCCATTTCTTATTCACGGCCTTAATCACGGATGACAAATATCCAGGAAAGAAGGAAAAAGAGTGGGAAAAGTTTGCCCCCCCCGAGTGTCTTTAGGGTTCTGAAATGTCTTTGGGACATTCTGCCAGGTAATGAGAGGGAACTGAAACTGTGGCGAATTAGTAAATGTGTTGAAGAGGGAGTGAGAAGGGCGAGCTGACATTAACAGGCTGGCAACGGCTCACCTCGCAGCACTGACAGTGAGGGTCCTCTCTGTCCATTCTAATGAGGTATTTTGAGGATCTGAGCTCAGGCCTCCAGAGGGGCCCCCCCCCTGGGAGTCAGACGAATCGTCGTGGGCAACGGAGGGGCCGAGAGGAAGTCTGCGGCAGCGGGACGGGGCGGCTGAAGTGCGTCACGCCGCATACCAGGATGGCAGATCCTGGCATGTGAACGCTGGGGCAATCACTTGAAACTCCTTCAAGGCCACATAGAGGAAACTGCATCACATCCAGGAGCTGCTTCCTGTGACCCCATGATGTCAGTTCTTTGTTTGCAGGAACGTTTTAGAACTCCCACTCCGGACATCCAGGTGTCCGATATAACGGACTGGAAATAATCCCTGCACCCCTCACTGTTTTTTTTTTTCTTTTCCTTTTTTATGAGAATTGTCGTATTCGCATGTGTATTAGGGTTGATTTGTTCATGTGTAAAGAATGTTAAAAAAATAAACAGAAGTCCAACTTAATTCAGATATAATGAAATCAATCCATTCCTCTTGACAAATTTAAACAACAGCTGGTACATTGCTGAGCACCATGGGGGACCTCGTTTTCATCTGACCCTCCAGCACAGAGAAACAAACTCACTAAAGATGTCAGAGAGGGCTGAGAGTTTGTGGATTTTAACGCTATCGGAGGAGGACAGACTCCTCAGTGGAATCACTGTGTGCAGTGTTTTTGCTCAAGTGAAAATCTCCTTTCAACTGACAATCTCATGAATAATTACACAGCACTATCCCAAAATCTTCCCAAGCCGTTGCTGTAAAACCTTGTTGGCCTTGTCACAGACTGTGAGAGAGCGTGTGCACGTGCTCTAAAAATGTATTGGTCTCACTTCAGAATAATTCCTTGCAGAAATTTTAAGAGGGTAATGAAGAGGATTGCAGTCAGTTTTGTATTCGTGGCAGTTCGTGGTTTAAAACTGAGCGTGGATTAGCACAAATGTGTTTCGGCCCGTTAGCGTGCAGGTCACCGGGTTAATCAGGAACCCGACCCGTTTGGTCCATGTGTGGAATCATAGGTTGGTCCAAAAATGAATATCTGAAAGATGCCGTTGAATGCAGAACTTCTTACTTTTACATTAAACAAAACAGAAATTAGAACTACGACTCAAGGTGATAATTACAAATGTTCAGACTCTGTAATTGACCTTATTGTTAGAATCCAGCATCTGATCCAGACAGCATCAGTGGTTTTGTGACTTTGTCTGTGATTTATCATCAAAACTGATAAATCATCCTTTAGAACTTTATATATTTGCGATACGCCATTGCATCAGTTTTTAAATCCACTCAGAAGTCATGTTGCTGAATCAGCATTTTCAAGGGATATACACTGTACTGTTTCTGTGAAGATTTTGGTGGTTTGTGGTTTAGTTTTAAAATCAATAGTGCCTTTGCAGATGTTTGTTTTTACAGAAATTGAAACTTTTAAGAGTATTAGCCAAATGTATCAAACAGATTCAATATATCTTTAACGGGATTTTAGGGGAGGAAAGTAAAAGTTTTTCATTTACCTCTACAATTCTAATGACTGTTCATGAATATTTCTGTGTCTGAAGTTTTATGCAGATCATTTTCGTAAAGTCCTGTAAAAGTTTCAGTGCAGAGAAATGTGTGTTCATTTCCACAGTCACAATATTACAAAGGGGAAGTGTGAGTAGATCTGCGTTTAAGCAGGGGATAAACTCTAATATCCAAAGTTGGTTTTAGATGAATGAACAGATTATGCTTCAGTATCCCATCGCTTGCACACCACAGTCCGAGTTAACATCCATGCCAAATCGTTTTTGCAAGGCCTTCAACAGACATTGTGTTCATGAGACTAGGATGGACATATGCTGGGGCGAACAAAAGACAAAAAATATAAAATGCCTTCAGCCATGGCTGTTGCAGGAGGAAAGGAACATAAAGCAGATTTATTGCATCAGACTGTCTGACCTGTAGGCAGCAATCTCTATGTCTCTGGCCATCTTCTCACTGAGCAGCTCCTTGTTATCTTCACACTGCTCCTTCATTTGTGCTTTGAGGTCATCCTCCTGCTGCTTCATTTCATCTATAGTATACTAAATCACACACATACACACACACACACACACAGATGGACAAAAAGGTGGGGTGTACAGAGGAGGATGAGATTAAATGACAAAATTAGCCCAAACCACTGGTCCGTTACAGGTTGTGATTACATTAATCACTCCTCTCCTGTACCTCCAAGTCAGCAACTTCCTCCGTGTATGCAGCATTCTTCATCTCAATCTCATCCTCCAGCTCCTCGTTACGCTTCCCGAGCTCAGCGAGTTCACTTTCTAACTCTGAAATCTGCAGAGAGAGACACTCAAAGACATTCAACAGCAGCCACTCATTCCAAATATATACCCGCTTCAAAACAGCGTTCTTTCCATGGACATTTTTCCCTTCAAGAACAATAACAGAGAGCACGCCCGTGGAGTAGAATATTAAAAGGAGAGATCTTGGTCTTGAATCTTCAATTGTAAGAAAACAAACTGAAAAAAAGTGTGGAAATACAGAACAGGCAACAATGACCATGATAAGATTTTTAAATTTGTGTCTATCTTGTTGTATCTTGTATCTCAGCTTCCAATCGAGATCAGCAGGGCTGTGTACATTTGTTTGATAACACTTGTCTTTTACTAATCTAAACAGAGGGTAAGGGCTGAATTTAGAGGTGCAAAAAGAGGAAGGGGGAGGTGCCAATCTGGGGTTTGGTCTCATTGAGCAACTTTCACATTACTCCTCACCATTTGTTCTGTTTTGCTCTTCATAACTGGTCGAAATTGAGCTCCAGGACAAAGAACCAGATCACTTTAACCACAGACTAACTGAGGAGCATCACTCCTCCCAGTGGAGGGCGTCAGTGACGTCCTGACGAGTAATTACACCAATCACAGAAGTTCCACAATTAGCTGTAACAGCCAGGTGGGGATCCAGACAGTGGTGCTTGTCTTTCAGTGAGATCATGGAGGCAGAAGTGGTCCGGGTTACTACTCACAGGCACCATCAACCGGCTTCATCAACTGGTCCAGCCGAAAGCCCGCGCCCTCTTCCCTTCTCCCCGGGGTAATAAGTTGAGTCTGGCCATGTATGTATATATGCGAGAAGTGGCTTATAACCTCATCACTGCCCGTCCTACTATATACATTTGTGAGTTAGGGCTGATTTCACTGCAATCTGTTTGTTTGGCCATGTTGTGTCTCAGTGAGAAACCAGACCCGAGGCATCCATCACAGCCACAAGAGGAAACAGAGCAGATCAAGCCGAGCTGCCCATCCGTCAGGCTGGAGTGACCTGAGCAGGGCTAGTGTGCCTGCTGTTATAGAAAAGTAGATGACGCGGGAAGAGCTCTGCTGTGGTTACAGAGGCTCGCTGTTTATTTAAAGAGCTGGAAGTAGAGCTACAGCCACAGTAATGAGAACCAAACCACCATGTTTGTTACAGATGTGGTCAGGTGCCAGCTGTGGTGAGACCGCTGATGGATGTTAAAGAGAGCAAGGCGGTGGAAGAGGGGGGAGTTTCTGTTTCCATCTGGTGATTGTACCCGAGTCTAATTATCTTTTATTAACGCCTAACCTGGCTGTCTCTTTCATTCAAAGCCTCTCCACCTTCCTGGGGTTTTTTTTGCTAGCAGGATGAAAACTATTTGATGAGGTTTTATTTCCTCATTTTCATTTGCAGAAGAGGTCTCCGGGCTGTGCGAAGTTTGGAGCCGTTTATGACTCCGCAGGCCCCTCTGAAAGACTGTACTTAATAACTGAGGACGCAGAGGGCAATAAATCCTGTCTGAGCTGCAGCCGCGGCCTTCACATCTCCGGCTGAAAGTGTCCACAGAGTAAACACGCCGGCCAGCAGGATCCCCCACACTGTTGCTCTGCTGTCACTCAGCCACTTTCCACTCCCTTTGCCTGCTGTGGGAAACTATTCATTTTCAGCTCTACATCTGATTTAAGGTCCGACTGTCAATGCACAGAAAGTTGTAGATTCTAAGTTTTATCTTTTCCTCATCGCTAAAATACTCAGGGTGTTATGGGAAGAAAATGTTGGTTCATTGTATGAGAAAATGGTGTCGGTCATAACCCCTTGAAGCCATTCTTCATTTTATACTTCAAGCAGGTCTCAAGCAAGAGGACATTAATAATAATTATAGTTTTCGTTGTAGCAACAATTTAAACTAAAATCTTTATGTTTGAGTACCCCATGATTCACATTTTATTTTTGTTTTGAGAGCAGAAAGTAAAAGAGGGGGAAAGGTGTTCCATTCTAAAACTAGATTTAAACCTCAGTTAGCATTTGTTTTCAGACTTTTATCTTTGGTTTACTTCTCTGACTTAATCAATGTTGACACAGTGGGATGACAACGTTTTCTAAAAAAAAACAGTCAACCCACAGCATAGAGCTGCTTGACAGTCAAATAGCAACTCTTTTTTGATTGCAAAGAGACTGAGAAAGATTGAGCAAACTCTGGTGCTCTCATCTCCGTAGCCACACTTGTGCAAATATGACCTTCAAGGAGAAGCTAGAGGAAACACTCTCCTATATCTTCTCCACTACATTACAGCTCACAAGTTTGCAAATGAAGATGAAAATAAACCTGATACACTCGATTGTCCTGTGAAATTAAACTTTTATAATTTCCTGTTTCACACAAATCAGGTCGTTATCACTTTCTGCCAATAAACTGAAACTACAGACAGAAGTCAGCTGTCTTTGAGCTGAATCTGGAAATGGATTGATGGTGGCTATAACCACACAAGAAATATTGATATCATACAAGATATTCATATTTATGTAATAAACATACCAAAACAGAAAAAAGCATTCTTTTAGACACCATTTGTCATTTTCAAACTTCTTTTTTGTTTGGGGTTTTTCTTGGCTCAGATATATAATCGTGTTACTCGATTCCACTGCCCTGCATATTTGAGATGTTTCCCCTCAAGCTGTTGTAGAATTGAAAGAAAAGCAATTTGAAGATAATTCTAAAATGGTCAACTGTGTCTTTAAGGCTGAAACATGACTAATTTCTTCCTCTGCTTTCTCATGGAAGCCTTGAGAGTCCAGTAAATACCTCTTGGACATAAATCTCAGTCATTTCTTAAAAAAAAAAAAACGTTTTCCTTAAATGAAAAGGCGATGCCCTGCTTGGATTAGTTAAACAGTTTTGAAATGTGTGTGACCTGACCCTCTTAAGACACACAATAAAAATATGAAGATTTTTAAAACGGAAGGAAGCAGACTCACCCAAGTCTTCATCTCACCCACGTCCTTTATCTCTGGAAGGTCTTTGACTGTTGACCCTGCAGTTCCTCCCACTTCCAGTTTCTTTCCATCATGTCCTTGAACCACAGCATAGGCAGATGCACCACACTCGAACTGGAGTAACACATGATTAGGAGATGGTGTAGTTGTTGAAATTTGTGTTTATTACAAAAAAAGACAAACTTTAATCATACACAGTGCATTGAGTACATTTTGACAGGATGTGCAAACAGCCTCAAAGTGTGTTGCATTGGCAAAACGCTCCTTGAATAATCCTAATTTATGATCAAATGGGAAAATGCAGCCAAAACAGGCAACATGAGGGGGCACAGGTGTGTGGTATACAGCCAGCAATCACAATGTCCGCTCAAAAGCAACAGCAATCATCTTAGCATCAGGACAATCGTCTCCAATAATCAAGCCCAGGCTCGGACAGGACGTTGTCCAGCTGGCAAGGGGACGAGACTGAGTGGGAGGGAGACTGAGTAGATGGGATTCAAGGGGGAACCAGAAACATATCGACAAATATAGACCGATACACACATACATCATTGTGCCAGATACCCTTCAGTCATGCCACCAAATGAAGGGCTCACACACCAATGTCCAGCGCAGAGCTGCTAAGGAGCCTGGGAAGGCGGCCTGCAGTCTGATTACAGCCCTGACCTCTGAACCGGCAGACATCCTCACCACAGAGGAGGTCAGACCCACCGGAGCTATAGTCTGACCCCATGGCAGTACCCCCGTTCGGCGACACACACTCACGCACACACACACACGAAGGTGGACAAAAGCATTCTGTTCGGGTCCAGCACTGCACCTCAGATTCTCAAGTTCTTCCCTGGTGTTGTGTTAAGAGGTAAAGAAAACAAGCGCGAGTATCGCCGTGCGATTCGTGAAAGCTGAGATTTACGTCTGGACTTGACCGGACCATTTCAGAGGGGGGAGCAGGAAGGTGAGGTGGTGAGAAGGGGAGGTGATCGACAAGCAGATGAAGAGTGTCTCAAAGGAGGAAGAACTACTGGGATTGTATTAATCAAATTAGTGCAGCAGTGCTGAACGTTGAAGATAAACAACTTTTTCATTTAGAGAATTGAACTTGAAATCTTAGACAAGACGAGAAGGGTTACTTCAAAAAAGGTGTTAAACACACTATTTTTACAGTGCTTATGAGCAAAAATCCCCCAAAGAAACAACTGTTTTATATCATACTTACACTTTGTTGTTTTATATTAACTGTGGGAAGATTGTCTAGATCTAGTCACGTGTCTGTGAATGAGTCTAAAGCCAGAAATAGTTCTTAATGGCATGTTTCTTGTCTTGTACTACATCATGTTGTACCTGGAGGCTGTCAGACAGCTGGCGGTAGTACTCCTTTACATCCAAGGCCGGAGTGATGTCAGGACTGCCAAATCTAATGGTCGCTGCTCCAAGAGACCTTTCATCTGGCTCCAGCAGGCCCTGCACTTCCTGCTCTTACATGTAATATATACAAATGCAGTGGTGAGATCAATTAAAGAGCATTTATTCAGCACACAAGTATTTCCATTTTTTCCCAATTTCAATATGAAGAGACATGACTGTACATTTTTAAAACAATATCAATTTGACACAAAGAACATGTGTTCACCATTCAAAATGTCCCATTAAACATACAAAACCAAGACATCAAATGTGTACCCGAGTTGACTACTTTGTGAGGTTAGGTTTACTAGTCCTTCTTTGCTGAGTTTTGGGATGAAATTGACATAGAAAAAATGGGACACACCGGATAAATATCAGCCACAACCTTTGGTTGATCCCATTGATTTTAACGATATTATCGATTGCAATAAAAAAGTTGCCCCATTGATTGATGACACTAGGAAGGGAAATCTGTGCATCTCTACTTATTGATGCACCATCTTATGTGTTTTTATGAAATATCTTCTGCAACCAAAGCTACATTATACGTAAAGTGTAGGTAAAATGACAACATTGAATGCCATACTGAAGAGCATTTTCCAAAACAAAGAACATGAGGGAACAAGTGCACCTGGTATGTGTTGATATTCATAAAGCTACAATACAGCAAAAGCCTGGCCGGCTCAGCTATCAGTATGTACGCCCTTTGGTAAGAATTCACACATCCATGGCAGAGAAAATGAACTGCTGCAGAGCCGCAGTGGTGGTCGAACATTTTCCTCCTTTTCGCTACACCTGAGTAACGACGCGGCCGCTGTTCGTCCGGGGAACCTTAGGCATCCCAGAGTGCTGATAATAGCAAAAGTTGATCAAACAAAGCAAACTTTCGTAATGATTTGGCCTTTCAAGTGCATTTCCCTCGCTGTGAGTTATCAAGCCTGTCCCGGAGGGGGCGGGTCAAACACCAGGCTTTGCAGAGAAAAACCCAGAGTGATGAGGTTGCTACTGCCTAAACTGCCTCACCCTCTCTGCACAAGACTGGAGATGCCATACTGGACGGCGCCTGTCACCTTCTGGTGAGGTGGAGAAAATTGGAAAAGAGGCAGACAGTAGGGCGCGTGTAGCGACGGCGTGTGTAGCAAATGTGTGTTGATTTTAGAGCACTTTTTTCTAATTTCAGCTTTGTCAATTCCCTGTCTCACCAAGAGTTGTAAAAGAAGATCGATAACACCGTCTTCTCTTCCAATCCACGAGTCTTTGTTCGGTCAGAAAGATGTCATTATTTGAGCCTTTGTGTAAATTTGACAGCGGGACAGCATTAATTTTGCTACAAGCAGCCAAAGTCAAGACTGAATAGATATCTAGCTGTCACTAGATGTGAAATAATTAATTAAATCAGGCCCAATAGAGTTCAGAGTGTCATTTTGAAATTAAGTAAGTAACATCCACAGCATTACAGAAGGTTTTCATGCCTTTAGAGTTTCCTTTGTGGTTTCTGATGGAGGGCCATTTTTGGACTCTCCTGCTTATGTTGACAGAATATATGACGATTTTTCTCCAGCTAAGGTATTAGGTTTGTGGTCACACTACCACATGCGAGACCCTAAACACAGCTGTCAGGAGGTATTTCATTAAGTTTTGGACTACGTAAGTGTATATGCTTTTTATAGCTTTATAATGGGATTTTGAAAGTCTACTAAAATTGTGGTACTTCTGATAGTCAAATAGCACACCACTTTTTTAACACTGTACATTGCAGCAGCACCTCTTGTCACACTTTGTCCATTGTATGCCTCTTAAAGCAGCTCTCCCAAAGGCCCCGACTGGCCCTAAATATTAAACCACTCTTCATAATTTGTGGTGTGCAAAACTAGCCTCTAGCTCGTCAATATGTCACCCGTTTCATTGTGACATACTGTACGTCAGTAGGAAACAATAAGACCGGAATATAATGAGGTGCTTTAGGAGCCGTGCTCTTTATTGGACGGAATATTAAGTTGTGTTTTTTTTTCCTTTCTTTTTTATAACCAAAATCATTATAGTCTGTTTATGTACAAACCAAAACAAGTTCAGCCTTCAGAATTCACCAGAAACTTTAGTTTATTCTGTGACTGATTGTTTTGTTGGTTTCACATTTCAAAAACTGATCTATACAAATTAGAACTTGTGATTTTATGAGACTTGACTGTTGTGAGAAGTATTACACCTGTATTTGTAGCCAGAAATGTCTTATTGCTATTTGCATTTGATTATTTGTACCCATGCATGCAACACCTTTGTTGAACCCTTGCATGCCTTTGTGAGTGTGGTCAAGCTTGTGTGAAAGTTTGTATATATTTTTGGATAGGGACAAGCTAACTGAGTCAATCTAGCCAAATCATAATCTAATGGTTTTATTGTATTTCAGTTTCCAGTTTGTTGTATTTCCAATGCATTATCTAATTGCAACTTTTTAGGAGGGTGACAGGGGTCAGACATGTGTGTTTGTCACTTCAGATCTTGGATTATTTCCAACATTTCAACCAATTTTGAAGCAATAAACTATTCCCAGCTCATCAAGCTTGAGCTACATTTACTCTCACTCTCACCGCCTGGTGTTGGGCATCCATGTTGTCCAGCTGTTCCTCGTAGATAGCCACTTGCTCCCTCAGCGCCAAACACTCTGCTGTCACAGCATCCACTTCCTGCAAAGACGAGCAAGTTTACTAAGAGAAACACCAAGTAAATAAGCTTGAGGTGTCTGAGGAGAGCAGTCTACAGTTTAATAGAAACAACCACTGGTTTAAGAGACAGAAAATGTCTTTGTTACCTCCCTGAACACTCATTCTAAGAACCTGCAGCACATTCAACCTGTTTCACTGAACAGCAAGAAGACTGCAATGCAGAGGTGAGGGGAGGAGGAGGACAAGAAGGAGACTAAACAGACTCAAAAAGCCCCATCGCCCAATCCATTTACCAGTAGGGGTTCTCGGCTCATCTTCTCTTTTATAAGAACCACATTAATCTGTGTTAAATGCAATTACTGCGGATGTCTGTGTTTACAATGGAGCACATGAACAGAGCTGTCAGTGGGGTAAATGTGGCTCCTGGCAGGGAGGGTGTCAGTGTCGTGATAATCCAGTTCTGGTGCCACTCAAAGGGATCAACTCGCATTCTGATCAGCATTAATAAAATAGAAACTAAACTTTTCAGCAAGTGGAAGAAAGTTTAATCAGAACAGGAGCATTTAATTCAATGTATCCATTTTGCTCCACTCAATGAAACATAACTCCTTTTTTCCCCAGACTGTGGCTCTAAATCTATGCTAATAAGCTGAATTGATTTCCCTGCTGTGAGCTTTACCTTTAAATAAAACCCTAGAGAGGAAAAGGAGGGTAACATGTAGCTTAATTTGGAGCAGGAGCAACATGAAATCCTGAAGAATACTTGAAAACAGATTTTTTTTTTTCTCTGAAGGTAAGAGAACTACAGCTTGTAGTGGGTTGATCTGTGTAACATTCACTCCTCTGCTTCACATCTCTGATCCTCCTCTATCTTCTTGCCAAGTTCCCACCAAGTCTTGTCACCCTGCAGCTGCTTCCAATTCAGCACCAAGAAGTGAGCCAACAGGAAAATTACAGCTCCGGATTAGAGAAAGCGTTACATCTGCAAGGGAGAAATTAAAGCCTCCTTCACATCTGGCCGGGCTAGGAGGAGATGGGCGAGGGCATTTTAGAGGGAGGGGGTCTGGAAAAGCTGGCAGCTCAGCCCAGACTGTGTGACCACTGCTGATCAACACCCACTGGTGGGCACCACAGAGTAGCTGCTAGGCCAGGCTGCACCTGAACCACAGAGGCGAGACGTTTGTCAGCATTGCCATCTAGTGGTTAAAGTCCACCATCACACGAAGGGCATGATGATGCACAGTGAAAGAAAATTCAAAAGATGGATTATTTAATACCAACACTAGAAATAGGACCGTCACATGAATGAATAAAATCATTTGAATCTTTGTGTGAATAAGGGATTTATATTTGAGATTTGGACAACTGGAGGGTGATAATCATAAAAATTGTATTTGAAAAGTTCTTTCCAAGCATGGCCATGAAAATGAGACCATTTTCACGGCTAAATTTAAATTTCTGTCATCAGAGATTTTTCATTTACGGGTTGTATAATTAAAAGGGAGTAGAACAATAACCAATTCACAGTCTCATTCAAACATGATGGACAATGTCCATTTTCATTGTATATATATGAAATCTTAAATTTATGTTAGTTGGAGGTACATTTGAAAAAATTATTAAGGGGATCCTGAAAATAAGTTTTTGTTCTTTCATATCCAACATGTGGATCGGTTTTGGAGAGGTGTTTGCATTAAACTCCTTATAAATATTTACTGAAAGGTCATCTTTGGTGTAAGCTGAATTAAACTTGAATTGACCCACTCAACAGTTGGCAGCCAATACCTCAGCAACATCTTGCTGTTCCTGCTGGATGAAGATCTTCTGCTGGGCTACCTTCTCATACTCTTTCTGCAGATGTTCGACCTCTTTCTGTAACTCCTCTGTGAAACACAGGATCTCCTCCTGCAATCAGACACGGTGAAGGGGGCGGTGAACCTCGCAGTGTTTACAGAGCAGGCCGCTTGTCGACGTACAAACTGAAGCCAAATGGTTGGGAGGTGACATGATGTGCATACGGATTAACATGTCGTCACACAGAGAAACATCCGGAGGACACACCCAGCAGCGCCCTACCCTCTGCCTGCGCAGTCTTTCCACCACAGCATCTAGACTGAAGTCGGGCTCTACAACAGGGGCAGTGGAGCCAAAGGTCTGCTTGCTGTTCAGCTCCTCCTCCAGTTCAATGATCTGACATTCAAGAGAGTCGTTCTCCTCCTCAAAACAGCGTGCCTAAAGGGCAGATTTAAAGTCAGAACACAGCAGAGGGAAAATACCCTGCAGGTGTGTTGGTATCAGCACCAACAATGTTTGTTCTCACCAGATCAATGAGTCTGACCAGGCGGTCATTGAGGGCAGAGATGATGGTGCGTTCGTGGACGAATCGGCTCAGACTCTCTTTGTTAAGAGCCTTGGCGGCTACAAAGTCTAACTTGTCACAGTCACACTCATCGGCAGCCGCGCCCCTGAGAGGAAACACGGCACCACAGACGGGACCAACTGTTCTGCATTACTTCAGAATATCTGTTAAGCATGCAAACACTTTACAGGAAATTTCAAACACAACATGAAGAAGTTGCATTAATGAGCAGAGCAACCAACATTACCTACTTTCATGTGTCAGCATGTTTCTGAAATATACAGTAAAGCAAGTGTGGACTACCGTCCTCTCATTTAAACTGCCTGTATCAACAACATGTGTTTTAATTTAAGATACATATAGGAACATTTTCTAATTGACTAATTGTACTCTTTGTAAAAGATCTACAGGTTATTAGAAGGGTAAAATTGTCACCATATACTTTTTTTTTTTCACACATACAAAAATCTGTTTCATGCCAAAGTATATTCAGTTATTCAGCATCAACCAATGATCACACCCAGTGAGGTGGCCTTCATGCATTCAAGTCTGGCTAAAACTATTTGGCGGCGGCCCGCACTGACCTGATGGAGGTCCGGTACTGGCCTGCACACTGCGCACTCAACCCTCCGTTTCGACTCAAGCCGTCCTCCTCAAACAGCTTGCGGTATGAAGAAACTCTGAGCATCGCCATGAGTTCGGATGAGTGCAGAGATGGAGCAAACACATCAGGTAAACAGTGGCAGCCGGCCTGGTGCAGGTTTTATAGGCCCAGGGAATGGGAATGTAGCACAGAGGTGGAGGGGGCTAATAATAGCAGGACCATCAGCCAGTGAGGATTTCATGGGTACCCGAGGAGTACGCCACTGAATCTAATTGTGTTTTCTCCCAATAAGAAGCTGTCAAAAAGAACACAATGGCTCTGTAGATAGTTTTATTTCTTTTAAATAAATTAAAAGTACCAAAATTCAGTAAAGTTGAAAACAAGAGTGCCATCGTTTTTAAATGAACCTTAAGTTTATGGCAAAAACTGAAAAACAAAATAAAAAATATACACTGTATCACACCATGACATCCGCTGTTACATATGTGTAAGACAACACTTGACTCAGAAATATTGATTATATTAATCTTGTCTGACGTAGTGATTTCTGCTTATCTAAATAAAACAAGAAAACCAGCTTTTGTAAAATAAATCTCCCAAACTTAAATAACGAGGATCAATTCACACTAGTTTGTGCGGCAAAAGAAGGATGACAAATTAAGATGGTGGATGGCAATAAGGCAAAAATAAACAACAGTCAAGACGAGAAACAATCTGAGGTTTTAGTAATATGCCATGATTGCCATCATTTTCACATTGCATCATATGATCCTGTTCTCCATCAGTTCAGAACTTATGTTAGTTTCAAACAGGAAAAAAAAAAAAGCTTTAGGCGTGTTGTGGTTTTACTACAAATTGCACAAGATACAGAGCACGAGAAATGAATGGCATGAAAATTGAGGCTGACGTCTGTTGGCAAAAGAGGAAATATTCACGAAACACAGCAGGGAAGTTCCTCCTTTCAATAACCACATCTTTTGCAGTAGAGGCTGACGCTCCTTTAAAGAGGGGGGCACAAAGCTCAGCAGTCAGTCAGATCTTACTCAACTTTCTCCCAGGAAGAGCACAGAGAAGAGCATAACTCTGAAAATAGGTCATGGCATCGCAAAGGCTTTGGACAATGAATAATGGGCTTTAAAATCTAGGAATAAAACATGTAAACAAACACAGACATCAACAGTACCGCTGCCACAAACATGAGAATCTGTAGACACCATTACAGAATCACACCATCATCTAAACACCCATGAAACACGAAACATTCACTATGTACACAATTTAACGCACTGACAAACACACAGGGCGGATCTCCAGTTGATTACGGTTGACCAGGAAGTTAGTGTGTTAACAGACTTGTTTTGTATCTCAAGATGATAAAACTATAAGTAAGGCGCACAGCTGTGCTTTAAAAAACAATGAGCCGTCTCTAATAAGGAGATAAAAACACGTAATTAATGCTTTTTTTAAACCAATTTCGGTCTGAAAGTAAACTGTACAGATATTGAAACAATAAGAAAAAAAAAACATTCAAATGGTGCCAAGTTTAAGAAGAAAATATATATAAATAAACAGATAAAATACAGATATCTTACCAAATAAATCTCCAAGGTATTTTACCATTGTCCCACAGCTAAAATGCAGCAACAAATGATTGTCATCTTAAGCTTAAACATTCTTAGTTAGAGAGTTTCATAATTATCCCATTTTTAACTATTTAACAACGTATAAGAACAGTATACCTCCAAATACTGTATTCGGTCGACTTCTCAGAAAATACATTTCCTGTTTTAGTTTTAGCTTCTGTGGATGTATAGTGTTTAAACGTTCCCACTGCTCACTGTTCGGGGTCGTTTTGGCATGAGCACCGACATAAAGAGTCAGCTGAAAGTGAAAAAAAAATCTGGTTTGGAGGCACATGTCTTTTGTTCATCAGAAGGTGCATAGACATCAGATCAAACCTCTCCCAGAAGTTTCCTCATCGCATCCAGCGACGGATCATAAAGTCTATGAACTTAAGATAGGACAGCTGATAAACAAGTTCAAACAAAGGTTTTGAATACCACTCACGGCAGTTGGTAAAAAGCAGGGTGCAGAACATCTGCACTGGTCTCCAACAGATGAAAAAAACATCAGGAGGATCAGTTACACAGTGCGAAACAGGTCCAGATCGATTGCAGAAAGTAAATTACCAGTAAATTGGGAATCTGCTCCAAATCTAACTGACACCACAATGAGAGCTCAGCCGCTGTTACTCCTCGTCTCCAGCCATGAGGAAACCCAGAATAAAGTTGATGGCTTTCTGCCGGTCATGTGATGTCTGTCTGCTCACCAAGTTGGGGGGTGGTCTGATGAGTAGACTGGCAAAGAGGGTGGCTAAAGCACAAAAAGGGAGTGTGTAGAGTAAGCACAATTTGAACTTTTGAGAAAATATTGGTATAATGAAATGGTGGTTTGTCTGGATATTTTATCAGTTTTGATAAAGAGAACGGAACCTAAAAAAATAACTCTTCCACCATTTTTAAACATTCATCTGGCTGTTGTCTTTGAACAACAAGAGGAAGATCTTTCATTCAATAACCAAAGCTGAAACAACTTTTTCAAACTCGACCTATTAGTATTACAGTGGAAATACACAGCAAAGACAGAGACAAAAACAATTTGGCCATCCAACGTTCAGTGCAATACACTAGCTGAAGTTGGATGTCACAAACCTTTGTTAAACCCTTCCGTGTGACACATGTGTAACATGAAAGCATTCTGTCTCTTACCTATCAGGTTAGCTGTTAGATTGTTATTTTTCGCATGCTTCAGAAGCTCTCTCAGAAAGGCCATTAAGTAGCGAAACACATTACGATGAGCCCGGGGCAGCTGGGAGATCAACTGTTCAACATCAAAACAGAGAGAGACAAACTGGTTACACACTGCACAGATAAAACTGTATTCTTGTCTGTATTGTCATACATTTTTAGTCTGTGCAAACAAAAGGGCTTGAACACCAACCTGCTTGCAGAGGCGGGTGTCATGAGAACTGTCGAGGCACCGCTGGTAGAGTTCATAACACACCACTGGCTCTGGCAAAGCCTCCAGGAAGATCAGCAGAGCCTCAGCTACAGAGTGGTTACACCCAGCTGTATGCCAGGTTAGGGAAGAATAATCCTTTATGGAGCCCAGTGGTGGCATTGTGACTAGATCTATCTGTGTCACATCACAGTTACACAAAAAAAAAAAAAAAAACTCTGAGACTTAAAAAGTTACTCAGAATTGGACATTCACTCAGCGAAGAATAAGATTAATTATGAATGTGCCATCTCTGTCTGCCACCAGATGACAACACTTTTCCATTTCTCTGCCCAGCAACGATGAATTAATTGGAGAGCAAATCAATTATCCGTGTAGTGTACACAAATTTATGAGCAATTAGGCTCAGTTAAAATAAGATTAAAACAGCTATATTTCTTTGCATCAAAAGCCAAGACAGACAAACATTTACTGGTGTTTTAAGAAGCAGCTAATACACCTGGATTAGCAGCACATAGCATAACTGAGAGGTGACTAAGAACTCGGTATACACCGAAACTACTTGCTTTAGGGAACAGCCAAATACCTAGATTCATGATACATCTTATTATGCATAAAAAAGTCTAACGGGCAAATTAAAATTCTATTTGTGGCAGAGGGGATCTTTTGAACCAAATGGGTTAAACCATTGCCATGGCAACATATGAGAAAATCGTCACGGAAGAACATTGTTGATTGTTCTGACAGTTTGTGCTGAAATAAAAAGTTTTTCCTGGTACTGACTGCATATATAAGGATACGGATGGAGTCAGGGATGCTGGTGTCCAGACTGTCAATGATGCTCTGGAGTTCTTCCTGTAAGCCAGGTGTCTGGAACAAGTCCTCCTAGGAGAGACAGAGAGATAACATGTTGACCCCATATTTATCTTTATAGATGTGTTGCTGCCACTAAATTCAAGATAAGCATATATCCTTCCTGAAACACAAATCTTAGTATTTTTAGGTTTCCGTTGTTTTCTTGTTAATAACATATTGGTTTATGGTATTTGCTAATTAGATAATCAATTGACATTTCAAAAAGTGTCCCACTTTTTTAAACTACAGTTAAATACTTTTCCATAAACAGTATTTTGAAGACACAATTAAAGCTTTTATAAAAGGATTATGAAAAGTTGCAGCTTTTTCACCTGATCACAGGATTTGGTGTAGAGGTGGTTCACCAGGATCCACACCTCCTTAGGGATCTTCAGAGGTTTGTCCTCCGTGCTTCCTCCATCAATCATAAGGAAGTTCACCTTAGACCTCTCCTATTTGGAGATTACAAAGAAATGATTACTTTTGACAGAGTTCTAACAGAGATGATTTGTCTGATAAAAATATATATGCATATTTTCTTTAATCGTCTACTGCAAAAAACACTGCGCATAACAAATCGGCACATTAAGTGACGGAGCAACTGAAGAGTTCAAAACTACGTCTGTGATCTGGAGGCTGGGAAAGTGAGATACTTCAGTTGGAGCATATCAGGTTCTTTTTGTCTCTGTAAATGCACCAAGAGTTTCCAAAAATAACTACAGCTACTTAGGCTGAAATGAAGACAGGGGGAACAGGATAAGGTGCTATCAAGCACACATTTCTATAAAATGCTTTAACACCAAACCTTGCTCTTTATCATTTAATAAAGAGCTGTGCATTAAAATCTAATGATAATTAAACCTAAAGATAAAGATTATATACACTTGTTACGTTGAATAAACAAGTGCAATATTTACAGTATATAGTGTCTCTGGTTATTCATGGAGCCATCTATTTCCACTGATCAAAAACAAGTTGTGAAATATAAAACGAGTGTGTACACATGGGCTTCTTAGCTCAGCTGAGCAGACTACAATTCTTCCTCTCATTAATCTTCATCACGTGTTCGAAAGAGCTGCAAGACTGACCTGCTGTGAAATGAGATTTTGTTATGTACAACTTTCTCAGGACTCGGTGCCCTCAGCAGGCCTGAGAGATTTAATAGTTGCCTGATCCGAGTCAGCTAAGGACAAGTCAGGCGTGTGACTGCTCACATAAGCTTACAGACATGTAAAGTGAATATCTACCAACTCACCCTAAAATGGGATTTATATGAACATATTCCAGCATCCTTAATCTCAGTAATGTTTCCATTAGAAGTATTAAGATGGTGGTCACAGCTCTTAGAAAAAAATGTAACTCATGAATGGTTTGGACTTTTATACCAGCTTCCAGAAACTAAGGTGCTTCTATTGTCAAAGGAGAAACTTATCAATACAAAATAATGTTTAAAAACAAAGGATTACAAAAAACCTCACTATTAACTTTATGAGGAAAGAATTTCCTTCATAACAAAAACGTTTTTTTAGCAGTCATTTTTTCAAGCAGAAATAATTCAAAAGTAAGCTACAAATCCACATTTTGGTGTACGTTTTTGTGCTAAATGTGACACTCTTCCAGGTTTAAGAGAAGTAAAAAAAATAAAGTGCACAACAAAAATGACTGAGCAAATGTTTATATGTGAAACTACCAACGTTCTCAGTAGTAATGGCTTCCCCAACATGAACCTGAAACACATTCCTCCATATCTATGTGGAATTCTTAAAGCTAAGATTACCCAATAACCAGAGTGTTATCACATCTCGGCAGCTCTGATCCCAAAAATACCTGAAGCCATTTTCCTTTACAACATGCACAAGCGATAATACAGATACCAGATAACAGGATTTGATACATGTGGTGCAACTGACCCTTATGCGCCTGATAGCTGTTTAGGATCTGTGTTAATATTTTACCTTTTCCATGTAGGTGTCCTCTCCCTGAGCAAGAAGCCAGCCCACAACCACAGCGAAGAGTTGGAAAGGAATGATCAATGCAAGAAGAGGCGATGGACAGGCAAGAGGAAAGAACAAAGTAGATAGAGAAACAATGTATAACCATAGAATAAGAAAAGTAAAGACATCACTGATTTTTTTGCATAAATCACAGATGAAATCACCAGTGCAGTGGGAAAATGAAAAGAAAGACAGTTAATCTGTATTCCAAAGTTAGATCAGATAGATAAAAAAAAAATTCAAATGTAAGCAGACAGAGATGATTGAGTGAGGACAGGAGGACCTATTTATATGAACAGACCACAGAGGTTCTAACCTGAGTCAGTCTTCCCAGTTCTCAAAGGAGCTCCCTTCCTAATTTCTAGTTACTTCCTATTTGGCCCCTCAAAGCCAGAAATATACATGTTGAGGTATTTTATATTCTCTATATATAGTCCGTGTGCACCCTGAGGGAAAGAACAAGCCTTCACGCGTTCCTGTTCAGGTTTCAGACTATGAACAGCTGTCGAATTACAACCTGAGCAAATCGAGAGTGAGCTGAGAAAGTTTCATACAAGTCAGTCCCAGCTATTTTAAGAGATTTTTGTTCACTAATTCTAATGCTTTAAAGTGTTCTGACAGCATTTCCATTTCATTAGAGCTGGTTTAGTTTTCCCTCACCAGGTCAATGAGCTTGGTGATGGGGATCTCTCTGATCGGCTTCTTCATGCGACACAGGCTCTCCAGTGAGGTGCCAAAACAGCTAGGCAGGTAGTTTCCAGAGATGGTGATGAAGTAGTCTTTGCCACGATCGAGATGAAGCACCAAAATGTCCTCGATCATGTCTTCTCCAGAGTTTAGCAGTGTGACTGAATCTTTGCTGACATAAACCTCCAGATAGATCTCCAGGGTCTCAGCTGTTGAGGTGGAATAGACATCCGGATTAGAAGTAGATAGGCAAACAATGTATCCACATAAAATCTGAAAAGTAGAGACATCATGGATTGTTTTTGCATACACAGTATATTAACCATCATGCATTTATAACTAATAAATAACATAGCATACAAACTCTCGTATAAAAATGAAAGTTACAAGACTGAGGAGAAATAATATAATGTTTCAATTAGGATTAAAAGGTACTTACATGGCTCTAAGAATCCATCACTTGGCTCGGCACGCAGCCATGACTTGCAGTACTGTGAATCGGTCAGTTTGGGTATGAAGGCAAAGTGGCAGGGTACCTGTCCATCGTTAGTTATTTGGAAGCGCTCTTTCTGCAGCTGACGGAATTTTACATTCTGAAACGAAAACTGTAAAAAGGAGGAAGAATTAACATCGATGGGTTTTCAAGTAACATTATTTCAGCCAATGATGGACTAATTAAGACATTTCATTATGTTTATTTTGTAAATACACTTGGCAGACGATAAGGGTTTATTAACTTTATGTAACAGAAAATGTGAGACAGACTCTTGGTATAATTACCTCCCTCCTACTCAGAGATACAGATGGAAGGAAGTCGTTCTCCATCCTATCCATTGCCCGAACAATGTCCTCAAACACCTTTTTGTGGCGCTGGTCATCTACAACTTTCACCTGTTGCAACAAGACACCAAAAAGGTTTATTTGCAGTTTCTGTCATCATTTATTTAGACTGTGTTGCAGTCAGAACTATACAGTTTAAACTGACCTGCACATTTCAGCCTTAACTATTCAGTCAGAGTGCTCTAATTTGGCTTTTTTACTAGTACCTACTCAGCATGGCTCTACTCATTTCTCTCTTCTTTTTTTTTTTTAAACTGCCATTAGGCGTTCTAACGGTTACATTTTAGCACCTACTCAGCCGTTGTTTGCTGCAGGCTGCGTTGGCCTGATGGCAGACTGCCAGATGCCGACTGGCCTGGGAACCACATGAACGAATGAGCCATTAAAGTGACTGCTTCACAAGAACCCCAATTATTTTAAAAACATGGCAACAAGGAACATCCCATTTCATTATTTCTGTCAACACCGACATCCTTGCAGTGATGTCCCTCATTGTCGTCTTGTGACGCACACAAATGATGTCACCAGGCAGTCGGCCCATCTTTCTGTTAGGACATCACTGGTAATGAAAACCACAGGCGAGTAGATGCGTATCAAAAAGACACGTAAGTGTGGATTCTTACCCCTACACTGAAGAGGGCGCTAACAGGCTTGTGGTCACTGGTTTTCAGCTCCATGTGACTTCGGTATTTAAGCTGCTTGACACTGTTGCCCCTCCAGAGGATTCGATCACACCAGGCTGGGACACGGCATTTCCCACTGCAGGAAACAGCCACAGTTTGAGAAGAAAAGTAAAGAACGGGGCGTAAGACAAACAAGCATGGTTCTGCTGACTCTGTGTTGGTTTGGTGATAAGCTCACAAAAGGTCTCCTTCGAAGCACTTCTAAAATCAGGAATCTAAAGAGGAAAACTTAGCTATGGCCATTGTGTACCCTTGTTATAAGATGAATCTGAGCACTCGTGTTCAGGCCTTTCCTGTACAAACAGTTTCTACCCCATCTAACATGTTCTGGACAAATGGCAACAACTGAATGACTTCTGATGTTTTCAATATGAGTATAGGTCAATTGTCTATTGAGACATTCTTTAGGAACATCAACTAAAATGTTTTCAAATCTACATGAAAAAAGCTAAACACTTTGTGAAAGCTAATCTCTGCATACTTAAGTTTGTGTGCATTTTATTTGTGTTGTTCCAAGTTGCATTTTGTTGTGTGCCCATCAGACTGCATCCATTATCGCAACAATGCTTCTCGGTAAAAATTTACTGAAAAGGTTTCAGTTCAATCTCCTTGGGAGTATCTTTTCTGTCAACCAGACTCATAAATTCAGTGACAGAAAATGAGGTTCAGTTACTGTTTGTTTAATGAAAATCTCGTACACAGAAAAAAAAAAAAAAAGAAACATCATAAAATGTAGTTTTACCTCGAGTCCCATCGATCTGTTTTTGGGTCATACTTGTAGGTGGGAATGAAGGTAATCTCTCCTTCCATGAAGTCTGTGAAGGCTCTTTTAGTCTGTCTCTGGATGTTCAGCTACATATTGAAAGTGAAGCATTTCCAATTACTTCCTGATTCCAACTTTTATCATGATAAAAACATTACAGGTGTTGTGCTGGTGTTTTTAAACACCATTTCCTTTTAATTCTAATGCCAATGTCCAAGTAACCTGGTCGGCACTGAGACTCCCTTACCTGATCAACTTCTTGGAGCTTCTTTAAGGCATTCTCAGCAATAAGCCTTTTGACGTCAGCAGCATCGTACATAAAGAGGCGATAGTTTAAGTCCCCGAGCCACATTACTACACTGAGAATCACAGAAGAGACAGGAAAACAGAATGAGCTTCCTTGTGAATATGATTCTTCCTGCTGTCTGACTCATAAACTTGGCAAGATAATAAAGTCTTTTGTACTTCTGGAGAATGCTTGGAATATTGGCAAATAAACCCATTAATCCACACTGAATTAAAATAACTCAGCGACAGTAAACAGGACCTTGAACTAATGATAGAAACATAACCAGTGAGAGTAGACATCAGACTCTCCACAGTAAATCTGACACATGTTCTCAAGTCACTCATGACTGACAGAGGAACTCACTCGTGCTTGACGATACTGAGCGGGGGGTGTTCCAGTAAATGGAAGGTCATGCGGGCACAAATGTCTTTGTAATCCTGGTTGCGGCGCTCAAAGTCCTCAACATGTGCTGCTAGATGGGAGTTGACAATGCAGAAGCTTGTGTTGTGGAACACAAACCTCACTGCCACGCCGCCTTTGTTCCCCTGAAACAGCGATTAGAGAGCTCCTTACTGTCACGCAACCAATTACATGCAAGGCAGAAGCAGTCCATTACAATACAGTACTCATAAAAAGAAAATATTTTCAAGGGGGATATTTAACATCTTGAGTATAGAAATATAAAATGGTAAGCATAGTAAGTGTTAGCAGCTATTTCAATCTTTCGAAGTGGCGTGAACATACCATTTTCCCCATGATACCCGTTCCCACGTGTTCCGCAGCCACTTCTTTTATGTGATTCTTGTGTATCTTCTTTACAAAAACCACGAGCATCATCCCAACTAATCGTATGATCCGTATCTGTGAAAACAGACTGTGGTCATTCACGCGGCAGCCTTCAATGCTTTTTCAAATCTCATCTCTTTTTTTCCAAAGCACTTTTTTATTGTTCATTTAATCATTCACACTGTATCTATAAATGTCACAGTCATAAAAAAAAAGTGTGCACACAGACTTGAATTTTCTGTTTGTACTCACCCTTTTATACTTTGCTTTTGAGTGCAAGTTTCTCTCCACAGCATCGACCCACAGCTGCTCCTTGGATGAGTCCATGTAAAAAAAGGCCTCAGTGCTGAGGTCCAATTCCTGAAATCTACAATATGGAAGCATATTCAAAATTACTCAAACATAAATAGCTAGTCCAAAAAGCACAGAATCTTTTATTCTTACTAACCCTAGAGCATAAATATCAGGAGGTTCAGAATCACAGGAGAGCCATGGTTCAAGGCTGCTGTCTGGAGACTGGCCATTGACATTCCACGTACCTATGAAAAACCTGCAAAATAAAGTCATTCCATAGTATCACCACAGGTGCATTTAACTAAAATTTTAAATAGTACGTTTTCTGTATTTCATCTGTATGAAGAAGTTCCTCTTACCTGAAGGGCCGAATGTCCACGTACTCATTTTCCTTTTTAGCTAGACGATGTTTAATGAGGTATTCTCTCTGTCCTGCCTGGCTGGAGAGCATGGCCTGTTTCATGCTGTTAGTGGTGGGACTGTCAGTCCAGGACAGTGGCCTGTCCCCATAGTCAAACCCTGACCTAAAACTACTACAACGAGAGCAGTAGGATATTAATAAACTGAGCTCAGTACTTTAGATTTGAACTATTGTAGCCATCTCAGCTGCTTTCAGGTTTACTTACTCTGGTTTGCTGCTAGTAATCATTGAGTTGTCTCCAGCCTGTAAGGAGATAGCTCTGTCTTTCAAGACAGGTGCAGGAGGAAGAGGATTTGATGGTGCGAAGGACGCCGTGCGAGGAGGTAGAGGAGGAACAGGTGGAGGCTCCCTGGAGGCAACGATTCGATTCTGGTGGTTCTTCTTCTCTTCAACTTTCAAAGTGTGATTGAAGCTTTCCTCAAATCCAAACTCTGTAGCAAGTGACTGACCTGGAGCTTCAGAAAAGGTGAGATTAGTTAAAACGGTATAACAGCCTAATGTTTGAGAGACAAGTTTAAATCTATAACAGCAGTGATGCTTTGGTTGTTGTTTTTTTTCTCATGACTTTTCCTGTTTGTTCATGTCTTAAATATAAACCTCATGTTATAATAAACTACCTGTGCAGTTCTTATTTGTTGAAGTGTTGTTGATAAGATTAGTTGATTTGGGTGTGTTGACTCCAGTTGTCATAGTGTTAGCTTTCTTGGGTGCTCTTTGAGGTGGGATGGGGACCGGACCTCTATGGGCCGCTGGTGTAAGGGGCTCCATCGTTTTGGGTTTGGATGCAACTGATGAAGAAATACATAAATCAGTCAAACAGCATGTCAGATAGAAACAAAGTTTATGTACTAAAAACCAACAAAAGGTGCAACCACAGGCCAAAGGAAATTTAAGAAATTGCTACCATGAACTTGTACACCCTGTTTTACTCTGAATTCAAATATCAACACAGGAACATTAGCCAACACTGAAAGGAGTAATGGTATGACGTCACTGACACGCTCTTAGCTATGAGACGACTGAAGGAAAAAAAATACTTCCTTCTTCCACTCCAGGATGTTACACACACACAAACTTGGAAATGAAAGAAACTGGTAGTTGGCTGTCAAACCAGATGAGCAGGTTCTGAGACGAAGTAACAACATATCAGTTCCATCAGTAACCATGATGTTGATTGCAGAAATGGAAACGGAGAGGATTTAAACACAAAAGTGAATGGCTTGGGTAAATACAACAGTATCTTATTTAGAGAGGCAGAGTCTCTGCTCATTACTCAGATTTCAAGACTCTCTACACACTATTTGCATCAAATCTACATCGTTGAGGGAGAACCCTTCCGTATGGAGAAAAAGGGTGGTCCTGTGCAACACTCAGTAACTTACAACCGGGATGGTCGGGACAAGGTTACTAGAGAACATTTTCATTGTTTTGAAGCGGCCAGAAGTCTGGAATTTGGGAGCCAAAGACTTGAATGAAACCAGGCAAGCATTACAAATTCCCAAACCCTGATAGAACAACAGTTGAGAAGTCCACATATCAGTGGGCATATGCTTTCATTCACTTAATTTCAAGATGGGACAGGTCCTGATGAAGGCAACAGAACTAGCAATATCACAACAAAATATGAGCAAGTCTTCCATGCATGCCATTTACCCACCGAAAACATCAGATTTTCTATTTCAAGTTAAGATGACCATGTCATCAGACAAAACTTATGGCTATTGTCCAGAACATGGTAAGTTAGGTGCTGGCCAGTATGAGCCTTTGCGAAACAAGACCTTTGGAAAAACACAAAAACTGTCTCACGCTTCAGCAGTACACGTCCTCATGTTCATATGGATCTGAATGGTGGCTTTCTTAACTCTGCTAGTGACTCATTACATACCCCAGCCTGCTCAAGTAGAATATTTTCCCATGCCAGTGTTTAAGCACAACTAATTAATCAAAAGAAAATACCCAAAAAGTACATGGGGCCATCATCTCTGCTTAGTTTATCACTTGGCATTTTGTCTGCCAAAATAACTCAGAATGATCTAAAAGAGAAAAAAAAGTGTTGTATTGTAATCAAAGTTTACTATCCTGAGGATTTCAGGAAAAAAAAGTGAATCAAAGTGTTCTTCCTGGCAGCCAGAATACACAGGAGACCAGCAAGAGCAGTAATCCACTCTTAGTAAATAAATGTTTGATGAGTGATTCAATAATTAATCACCTCACTGCTTTAGACCGCTGACAGACCATCCAGGCTTACCTTGGTCCTGAACGCTCTTCACCTGAGCAATGAAGGTCTGAGTCCGATCATCCTCCTGGAGTTCCAACAGCAGTTCTGGCACTTTGTCCCCTTTGATGCGTATTTTAACCCAGGCTTGAGAGGGGAGCAGAAAACACACACAAACGTTGGACATCATTAGATTTCACAAACAGACTTGAAACATAAACTGTCTGGGAAACAAAGCTAAGTGATGTAACAGCAAACCAATTCAGCATTCTCTCAGGGAGCCCTGGCAACTCATGACTAGAGTGTGCTACTAAATAAAGGCACGTTGCTGCAGGCATGCTCTAAAAATGCAACAGGGCTGGACATTGTCCCACTGCAGCCAGTGCCACGACTTCTGCAAGTTCTGCAAGCTTATATCTTGAACCAGACATGAGAAATGATCATATTAACTAAAAGGAAATAAACACTAAAAACAAAACTTATGATCGAAATTAACCCGAGGAAACAAAAAGTACTCACGATCCGCTGAGAAGTCAATGAGAAGAGCCTCTTCGGCTTCTGAAAGAAAAGGAGGAAATCTGTTGAACGGTGCAGTTCAAAGATCAGCAGTGGGAGTAAACCTGTGGAGTTATTAATCATTTCAACAGGCACAATGTGCAAATAAAATGCTTCCTGTTTTACATCAGTGGAAGGTTCTGAAACACTGTGCGAAAAGTTTAAAAACGTATAAGTTGGTCAATTGAACAAGGATTACACACAATGTTTTTCAATTATATTTAAAAGGAGTTTCTAAGCATTATTAGTTTAAAAAGTTAATAGCATGATTTTGCTCAAAGAAATTGAATATTAATTTACATACCTCGTACAAGCTGAAAATTACTATTAATGGGTATGGACAACTGAGCCACTGGGTGAGACCCAACAGCATCAGGGGTGGCCAACACACCAAGTCTGAATGACAGAAAATTGACATTGAAACAACTCACAACTAAATTCAACTCAGTCAGTCTTTTTTTTTTTAAATCATCCAAAAACACAAAAGGAATACAGATGAGGTTTAGAAGGGTGTTGTTTCCACTCAAATCAGCCATCACTTTTGCAGTAAAATTCATGCAAGGCATTCAAAATGAAAACACAGTAAATTCAGGGCTGACAGATGTGCTCTGAGGGTTAGAGAGTTTAAAATGCAGACTTAGTATTCTTACGGTAAAAGCATAAGCACACATGCAGAACTCTAGCACGATTTGTAGTTACAACTGAGCTTTAGAGTTTGTGCATGGACAGTACTGTGGACACACCAAAGGCATTGCGGTGACGAGTGTTGGGCCGTTTAGTCACCACATGAGCAGCTTCACGTCTATGACGGCCATGAGCGTAGGCAGGGGCATAACTGACTGATTTATTGCAGGGGTCAAAAGGGTTTTCGGCCACTGCCCACTTCCCTCCACTTTACAATAAATGTCATAATGTTTGAAGAAAGGAAAATGATTCAGGCCTACGGGAACACGTATCAGCGGCATTTGCCCAGATTTTACAGGGAAGCCTGTAACACCCAAAGCTACAGACAACCTAACATTAAATAGCATCTCATCCTTCAAAGCCATTCAGTTTACAAAAAAAATGCAATTTAGAGACCCTGCATGAATTAAAAAGCTTACTAATTTAGAATGTTTTAATATGTTGCTATGTTGTTGTTTTTTTAAAGGAGATTTTATCTGTGTCATTTTAAACCTGTGGCTCATTAAAGCTCCCCTTACTTTACCCCATTTCTTTGTCAAAGAAAAGATGTTCATTAATACATTTCCAACCAAATAGTAACTCAAAACCTCCTCAGGATGTTGCATAACAACATAAGAGTAAAAATAGTCAACTTTACTGCTGACTCTGAAAAAAAATGATGTGTTTTCATCTCTAAAACTATTTAGTCGTAACTTTATATCTATTAAAACCTTCACAGTGCTTGGTTTTCTTGTCTGCCAACACTGTTCCTCAGTTTAGTTTGTGTGGATTTAACAGAGTTAGCCGAGCATGCCGCTTGTGTGGCCATGTGAGTCTCATTATAGTCCAAGATGAAGCAAAGGAATTTTGGATAATCTGGATAACCGAGCTGGCTGCTGGGGGAAATAAATGCAAACTACACTGATGATTAAACACACCCCCAGCCAGCAGCCACAGCACTCCCTTTCACAAAACATACTGGAGTTGTAAAGTGGACACGGACAACATTTTGTCCACCTGATTTCCAGGTAAATTGCAGCTAAGAGCAAATCTGAGTAGTGTGAGGGAGGGACATTCGCAGAGTTAAAGATCTGGGTTCAAATCATTTTGATGCAACAGTCACTCAAATCACGGCAGCTCCATGGGGGGCACTTTCTTGTATGACATCTAACCACACCTGCATCATGTTCCTGAGTCTTTCGTTCAGATTCATACATCATGTTAATGAGTTCTAACCCTACAAAAATCTGATGCATCATATCACAAGTCACATTTTGATTTAGGAAGCAGGACTGTTGTTCTGTTACCCATTGGTAATGGGTGAATAAACTCAACCCTGCCCAGGTAACACATTTCAGACCCCCTCAGAAAGCCAGCGATCAATAACGTGGACCAACTTTGAAAAATAAGGCAAATGCTGCAGGTGGACGTCTTTAAGCACTGGACATGGTTTCAACACCACAAACTGAGACATATGTTCTGAGACGTATCTACTATCTGGCAAAAACACTTAAGCTTTCAATAATTCAGATCTCTTGATACTTACATAAAGTTTCCACTGCGCTGAATAAGTGACAGTAGTCTGGGCTCCTTCTGGCCAGACCTCAGCTCCTGACCTCTCACAGTGTGAGCAGCACAATCAAGGAATTATTGGGATGGAGGATGAGAAAGGAGCCTGGGCATCACGACTACAGTTATCATTTCAGGACACGGCCCAGCTCTCGTTTTCTTACAATTGGTATTGGTTTAGCTTAACATAGGGAAGTGCAAAAAGAAGCCATGCTAACTCAACAGATGACAAGTCATAAGACAGTGAAAGAGGAGTTTGTTGGTGGTGGTCAGTGCAGCAACGTTACTTTGAAGAGGCTAAAATTGGGCTAACCTCAACCTATTAAACAATAAATTAATTTTGTCAAGGTTAGTAACCTGTGCAGGACATAGGTTAGTATCGTTAGCAGTGAATTGGTTTGAGAGGCTGCAGTATTTATACTATCATATGTGTTGGAGGTTGATTTTCAGCTCAATCAATGTTAACGTGCGTTACCTGAGATTCACTGAAAGCTAACATTAGCCAAAAAGCTACAGCAGATTAAAACTACACTGAAAACAAACCTCAAAAGGATATTGACAGGCATTCCTCGTTGCATATCCCCAACGAGGGCTCCATTCTTACCAAAATGAAGGAGTGTCAGTGTATCGTGGAGCTTGGTGTAGGAGCAGGGCATATGCTGGGGTAGGGAAAGTTAAATCCCCGCCCGGCGCTGCGGCGGCCTCTTTCCGGGCAGCTGTTTCGCCAACGGTCGCTAATGCTAAATGCTAGTTAGCCAGCTGTTGTTGTTTTGCCGGAGAGTGGCTGAAACCTTCAACCGAGAGTCGACAGCAACATATCCGGAATAGGCCTCAACATTTTTAGGGAAAACGTCCGGCTTCTCTCGCGTCCCGCTCGGTGTCAAGAGGCAGACTTCCCAGACGCCATAGCGTTATCGGGCAGATTGAGACGGAATGGAATGCTACAGCGGGACTCTGCTATGTGGACTCCCTCCTCCCACACCTCTCTCTAGGACTCATGGTCTTAATTTTTAAAGGCAGTCGTGAACAAATTAAACTACACAACGCCATCTTCCGCCCGGGATCATGAGGCACTAGCCTCTTAGCAGCAGTGTGTAAAGGGAAGCAGAGATGTCCAAAATGTGGTGAAGATCACAAATTTGAAGAATGTAAAGAAGTGCAAGAAAAATGTTGTAACTGTGGAGGGCAACATAGGGTTACATATGGAGGATGTGAAGAAAGAAAGAAGGCAAAAGAAATCATACAGATGAAAATGACAAAAAACATAAGCTATGCAGAAGCAGTAAAAAATGTGAAGGAACACAAAACAAGAAAAAGTGAACAAACACCGCGTCAAATTCCACAGCAAAGCAAAGTACAGTCAGAAGAAAATGTCACAATACCAGTAGAAAAACTTATATTATTTGTAGCATATGTTATCAACTGCACTGACCAAGCCAAGCATAAAACTGAGAAGATTAAAATAATAGTGAGAGGAGCTGAAAAATTTTTGGGGTTTAAAGAGGGATCATGGGAGGATATAAACAAAAAACTGGAGGGGGATGGGAGAACGGGACCATCAGGTGAAAGTACTTCATGTTAATATTACAGTGGAATGCAAGAAGTTTAATTGCTAACGGACAGGAACTTAAAGGGTATATTGACAGACTTAAAGATCAACCAGACATTATTTGTGTTCAGGAAACATGGTTAAAAACAACATTAGATTTTGTGATTAAAGGATATAATAGTATAAGAAGAGATCGACAGGAGGGAGGTGGGGGAGGATGTGGAATATTTATAAAACAAGGGATACAATATCAGGTATTAGGGAAAGGCAAAAAACTTGAATATATAGTAATTGAGATATGGGAACAAGAAGGTAAATTTAAAATAATAAATTTTTATAATCCATGTAAAAAATTATCAATTGAAATAATGGAGGAGTTAACTGAATATTTGGAAGGGAAAGTAATATGGTGTGGGGATTTTAATGCAAATAGTGCATTGTGGGGTAAAAGTAATGATAAAAATGGACAAGTTATAGAAGAATTAATGGAAATGAAAAATCTTGTATATATTAATGATGGGAGGGGAACAAGAATTAATGTAAGAACAGGGATGGAATCAGTATTAGATTTAACAATAGTATCAAATGGTTTAGCTGGTAATTGTGAATGGTTCATTGATAAGAATTCAACTATAGGTAGTGATCATTATCCCATAACAATTAGAGTAGGCATACATTTAAATAAAGAATATAAATGGAACTAAAAAATGTAATTTCAATAAGGCAGATTGGATTAAATTTAGGTACTTGAGTCAAACTAACTTGGAAAAAGTAGATATGAGAATGGATATAAATGATGTAAATCTAAACATTTGTAAAATAATCATGGAAGCAGCAGATCAATCTATAAAGAAAACAGGGTGTAAAAATAATAAGAAAATGGTACCATGATGGACAAATGAATGTAAAGAAGCAATAAAGTTAAGAAATAAAGCATTTAAATATTAAAAACCAATCCAATTTATAAGAATTTAACTGATTATAAAAGAAAGCAAGCAATGGTGAGGAGAACTATTAAGACTGCGAAAAGAGAGTATTGGAGAAGTTTTTGTAGCACGATAGGAAGAGACACAAAGATAGGAAAAATATGGAAAATAATTAGAAGAATGAATGGAATAAAGAGAGAGTTTGAATATCCTACATTAAAAATAGATAATATGAATATAATAAAAGATAAAGATAAAGCTGAAATAATGGCAAGAACATTTAGTAAAATTCATAGTTCAAATAATATTAGTGAAGAGGGAAGAAAAGGAAGAGAAAATACAAAACTTAAATATAAAGGTTTGTTAGAGAGTATTGAAGAAACAAATAATTTAATGAATGTTGAGTTTACAAAAGTTGAATTGAATGGTGCACTTAGAAAGACAAAAAATACAGCACCAGGTGAAGATGAAATTGTGTATAGAATGATAAGTCAACTTAGTGAAAAATCAAAAGATATAATATTGCAATTATACAATAAAATTTGGGAGGAGGGAAAATTACCAATGAACTGGAAGGAATCAATTATAGTACCAATAGCTAAACCAGGAAAAGATAATTCAAATCCACAAAATTACAGACCAATAGCTTTAACATCAAATCTATGTAAAATAATGGAAAAAATTATTAATAATAGACTAGTATATTATTTAAATAATAAAGGAATTGTATCAAAATATCAAAGTGGTTTTCGAAAAGGGAGAAATACTAATGATTCAACACTATGTTTAGAACATGAAATTAGAAGAGCACAAGTAAATAAAGAAAGTGTAGTGGCAGTGTTTTTTTATATCGAAAAAGCATATGATATGATGTGGGTTGAGGGATTATTAATTAAATTATACATGTTGGGTATTAAAGGGAAAATATTTAAATGGATTAAAGACTTTTTAACAAATAGGAAAATACAAGTCAGAATTGGTGAAATTATATCAGGAAAATATATAGTAGAAAATGGAACCCCGCAGGGGAGTATTATAAGTCCAGTATTGTTCTCAATTATGATAAATGATGTATTTAAAGATATTGGAAAAGGAATGGGGTGTTCACTTTTTGCAGACGATGGAGCTGTTTGGAAAAGAGGAAAAAATGTAGATTTCATTGTAAGGAAATTACAAGAGGTTATTATTGAAATAGAGAAATGGGCGTTGAAATGGGGGTTTAAGTTTTCAGTTGAAAAAACAAAATCAATGATATTTAATCAGAAACAAATAAAAAAGGAAATAAAATTAAAATTATATAACCAAGAATTAGAGCAAGTAAAGTGTGTAAAATTTTTAGGAGTATGTTTTGATGAAAAACTAAAATGGAATATACATATTCAAAAAGTTATTGATAAATGTAAGAAAATATTAAATATTATGAGATGCTTGGCTGGTAGTGACTGGGGAGCAGATAGGCAATCACTAAAACAGATTTACACAGGTATGATTAGATCTAACATAGACTTTGGTTGCATAATATACGGTTCAGCAGCTAAAACACATCTGGCTAAAGTATTTATATCACAGAAACAGTTACAGGCTTTACTAGCTAAAAACA